GACACAGCCATTCTGTTCTGCTTAAAACAGTCAGGTCATTTCCAATAATTGCCTATTAAGTAGGATCGATCACTATTAAAAAAAGATTTTGTAATCTACAAAACAAATTGCAAGGCTGCTTGTGTTCGTCAGTTTGTTCTGCCTTCTGAAATGATAAACACGAGCCGGTAGTTGGCAGATCTGCAATGAAAAATGGGGAATGGAAAGACCCAGACACAATGATATGAAAACTGTCAAATATACGCAGAGCATGGTTGTATTTATACTCAAACCCTAAGACCCAGGTCTCTGATATATCTGCAATCCTGTCTGCACTTCCAAGCTTAAATGTACATTAGTCCCAGGAGGGGTTCCCTTCCTTGGCAGAGAATTAGCTCCAGATCCCATAGCTTGCCATTACTATGTCTGCAGCACAGCACATTTATGATTAAAAATTACCTTGCAAAATAGAGTTTAAATCTCAGGACAACTCATCCCCTTATAGCGTGTTTCATCAAAAAGACTGAAAGGGAATCACAAAATCAGACAGGCAGTAGTTATGGCCCACAATCTCAGCTCAACATCCCGCAATGATAGAAGGAATGAGAGAATGGAAATAATCTCCGCTGCTTTTGGACTGTAACCTAACTGACAGAGCAATATTTTCTTATCGACTCTGGTCCTGTGTGGAACTGAGGGTGAAGAAAGACTGTGTTGATGTGCACAATGCAGAGGACAGAGTTTGTGATGTTGCTGATTGTATACCATAAATAAGTATTAGAGGAGAGAGCACAAGAGGTAGGATTCCTCTGTCTCCTAACACAAGTCCTGAGGAAACAGGTCCAACACACTTGCTAAATGTAAGAAATCCTCACAACAACTGTATAATATAATAATAACTTGCATTTATATAATAATAACCCTTGAATTTGCTATTGTGTCTTTTCACGTCGAGAAGACGTTTCAAAGAGCTTCACAAGATATACTGCAAAGTGTAGTGACTGTGTATTTTTAGGCAATTGTATTAGCCAATTTTCACACAGAAATATCCGACAAACAGCCATGAAGTGAATGACCAATTTTTATTTGAGGGGTTGTTGGCCCTTCTCTTTTCAAATCATGTTCATCTGAACAGGCTTGGTTTAACGTCTCATCTGAAGAATGGCACCTGCAATAATGCAGCACACACCCAGAAGTGTATTTGAGTAACAGCCTAGATTATGAGTTCAAAGTCCCAACATGGGGCTTGAACCCACAACCTTTTAACTCAGGGACAAGAGTGCTACCAACCGAGCCAGAGTGACACATCCACATAAATTGTAACAGATGGAACTTGTAAATTAATATCATAAGCAAAGAAAGGGTTGGTTATTGGAAATAGGTAATAACATTCCAGATAATATAATATATATATAAAACTTTTTTTAAAAATTACTCCCTTACAATTTTTCCCAGTTTATTTGCACATTTCGTTAAAGAAAAGCTCCTTACAAAGTTATGTTTGTGGTACATTGTGTTTGGAAGCTCCAATACATAGAAGCTTTATTGCTACAAAGTCAATTGTCAGATCTTAGGTAGCAGCCTAATATGATGGCTTCAAATAACTTATTACTTTTTTGAGAGTCATCAAGATGACTTTCCATTTTGCTTATAGTTATGTGGCGTGCCCTTGCACTACCTAACCTCTGCTCTTTGCCTCCTGAGGCACATTTAGTTACAGGGAAGGTCCCAGAGGCAAACAGTGAAACTGAAACCTGGTGTTCACTTGTTTTTTTTGGGTGATTTACTAAGTGAAACTTCTGTATTTTATGTACCTATTAAAGATATAGTACATAATGTACTTATTGGCAGTACTTCCAAGAACACAATATCATTGAGGAATTCTGGGCTTTCAAGATGTGTTCTTTTAAGGTGGTTCTTTTAGTGATTCTCAGTGTCTGACACATGCAGTCACCAAAGACTATGCTGAAGACTATCCAAACAGACTGGGAGTTCCACATATGTACTGCACTGTGTTCGGAACACATCCAGCTTGCCTAATTCTAGAGAGCATTAAACACAAGTTGCCAAGAGCCAAGGCTTGGGAAGCCCACTGTGTGTGTTGGGGTACTCCTGGAGTCTAACCAGCTAAACCACATAGTTAATCATTGAGAATACCTTCCAGCTGTTTGTCAAGCTTGAACCACCCTACCCATCAGGGATTTGGTTTAATTTCAGACTGAAAAACTTCCAGATATTAATTACCCTCTGTGTTACAAAATTGTTCCAGGGTCTGTTCTGAAATTGCCCTTTCGGAACCCTAAATCTTGATCTCTGTGCTACCTTTGACACTGTTGACTACTCTATTCTTCTCTCAGCTCTACCTTTGTGGCTCTGTCCTTGCCTGGTTACGTTCTTATCTTTCCCATCATCTCCACTTTGTTTCCACCAATAGACTCTCCTCTAGTCCTCCCACCATCACGTGTAGTGTTCCACAAGACTCGGTACTTGGTGCTTTCCTTTTTAATATTTACCTGCTCCTGTTCAGGGATATCATCCGCAGACATACGGTTAACATCCACATGTATGCAGATGATACCCAAATATCTCTCTACCTCCACCCTCGACTCCAGGACCACTGCTGTCCTAATGAATTGTCTGTCAGACTCAAATCCGACAGTTGAATGTCGTCAAGACTCTCTCCTGCTTGGCTCCCGTCAGCACCTCCACACTTCAAGCACTGACAGCATTGCCTCCTTCAAGGTCTGCTTCTTTCTTCCTTCTCGACCGTGACTTCGGTCATCTTCCCTCCACCAATCCCCTTGTCCTCCACTCCTCTCTGATCCCAACCTGCAGCTCGGGTGCAAACACCTCATTGTCTAGCTCCTTCGGTCATCCTCCCGACGTGAAAGGCATAAAATAAATACAATTTGTTGTTGTTGCTAAATCTTTGGCCTCTTGTTCTGTTTCAGTACTTCTGAAAGTAGTGTTCTGGGTTTATTATTAATAATAATAATCCTTATTACTATATTTGATATTTCATGCAGGGAGACAAACAAATGTGTTTCATAGTATATTTTGTAAAGTGTAGTGACTGTATTTTTTCTGTGGTAAATGTTTACTTTCAGCCCAAAATACACAGTCAAAACCACTTTACAGTATATCTTGTGGAGCGTTTCGACAACAACAACAAAATTACATTTGTGTAGCGCCTTTTACGTTGGGAGGATGTTCCAAGGCACTGGACAATCAGTGTTTCAGTCCCGAGCTCCCCACACACCGCCCCGCACAACATACATACAGCCTCCCACCAGCCGCACCCCCCCCTCAGCCCCGTTGACATATCTCAACGATGTGATGAGGTGCGATATCAAATGAAAGGCTTATTATTATTTGCAAACCCAAAATAAAATCTTATATAGTTGCATAAAATTCCCTCTAAGGCATCTCCTTTCAAAGCTAAAGCTAAGAAGCTTGTCCGCTCTCTCCTTATTGCTTATTATTCGAACACTGGGGAATGAACAATTCCAAACCGAGCAGTAAAACAGATTGTGGGTGGCATTAGATAATAGGCAGAATGCTAACATTTCTTGAAGTAAGTACCTCCAGTAGGTACCTACAGATAGCAGAGAAAGGTAAGCACCACTTTCAGGTGCTAAAATACTTTTCTCTACAGATTGCCTGTGTCCTTCGATTCTCAAGAAGTAAGTTTACTTGTACTTTTTATTGCAATTAAACTATTATTGGTGTTATTGATGCGGGAGTTTAATTCTAAACTTGTTCCTCTCACCTTAAGCAAATATCCATCAAACAACATACACATGAAATGTTAAAAATTCCCTGTACCTTTGAGCTCCATCTGATCTCCAGCTACTGGAAACATTGGACAGATTTATTTGCTAAAACTACAATTGCTGTTCATATAAAATCTTACAAATCACAGTGGGGCCAGCTGTACCAAGCAAGTGTTTCAAGTTCATATCCACCGACCCACCTCTGTGAAAAATGCAGCAGATTGTAACTAAAAAGATGGGTTTATTGTGCAATGGCTGGATCTGTCATCACAGAACCACAATTTTACATTCAACCCATCCTGACAAGTGGATCTTTAGTCTTTAGATCTTTAGTCTGACTCCAGTATTCTCTCCAACAGTGCTCTTGCCTCATCACTTGTGCTGAGATAGGGTTTCACAGTGACCAAGTGTAACCCATTGAGTATCACAGCTACACCCTATCCTCACAGACATCATTCCAGCCGGGATTGTGATCAGAAGGAACTTAAACTGACAATTCACTTTTCCTTTGCCTTTGGGGGGATGGTTGTTGAGGAAGGAAATGGGACTGAAGCTACGATCACATCTCCAATGTCACCCTGGTTGAGATCAGCTAGTACAGCACAGATGTGGGACTTTCACTGTATGTGTGGCTCAGTTACACACGGGCAAACTCTTCACCAACTTAACCTGATTATTTGATGGAATGGTTTAAGTTTGAATATCTTTTCCGGGCAGAGAGATTTGGGCCAGTCTTGTCCAGTGCAATTGTACAACCACAATGTGCTGGAGCAATCATACCGGTTTCTTGTTTAGCAAATGTCAATGAAGGGAGCAGCGCGCTGTAATTAAAATCATTAACACTTCAGCAATCAGGTGTCCAGAACTCCCCTTGAACAAGCCATGGTGAAAATATTTTTTTAGCTGAGAGTTTTGGTTTGCAGTATTGATTTTAATAACGCCCCATTTAGTGGGGTTAAGACCAGCATTTCAGAATTGGAACTCTTTGAGGTGAGACCGGGTTAGCCAGCAATGCATTTGGATCAGCAAGGATCCTGGATTTGTTATTAAGAACTAATAAACAATGACTGTGAGAAAGGAACGAATGCCATTCTTGGGAAAATGAGAAACAGTCCTATTGTACAGCACCTTGCTTAAGCGACTGAAGCTCCCTAGATAAACAATTCACAGTACATCAAACAAGCTGAAATGGCCAATCCTTAGCGCCAAGGGAAGGCACGGGGCCGCTTATAAATTAATAGGCCTTACCTCAGTATTACTGTTGTCCTGTTCACGGATGTTGTGTAAGTTGCTCCGTAGCCTGCTCCTCGTCCATACCTGTGGTCCCCACAGCACAGAATGATCAGAAAGGCACGTCTGAACGACTTGTTCAAGAAAGCATATAGAAAGGGGTTCAACCCTGAGTTAATGTATCCCAGCCAGAGGCAAGCGTTCCACAGCTGCATTGGTGTACTGTATTCGATGAAGGGGTCAACGATGTTGGTGATAAAAAAAGGTGCCCAGCAGAGACAAAAACATCCCATGATAATGCCCAGTGTCTTTGCTGCTTTGGTTTCCCTTTTCATCACACTGGAGCCCTGGTGTTCAGTGCTGTCGGTATCTGTGGCAGCTCCTGCCCGCTGCAGATTCCCTATACGTCGGGCGTGCTCCATCGCGGTGACGTATATCCTCTGGTAAGCCAGCACCATGAGGATTAGGGGAATGTAGAATGCCACGGCTGAGCATGTGATGGCGTATGTTTTGTTCACCATAAATACACAGTACGTTTCATTTATGGCTCGGTTGAATTTCCTTTCCTCTATCTGCGAAACAGGAAATACAACAGTAGAAAAGAAAAGCCGTTCAAAGTAACCAGAGTACGCAGCCTCTGCACTGAAAGAGAACCCTTGGATTGTGTCAAAAAGATTGTTTGTGAATAGAAGTGGGGAGCAGTCTTAATAATAATAATCTTTACATTTGATATAGTGCTTTTTACGTCTTCTAGACGTCTCAAAGTGCTTCACAGAATATACTGCAAGGTGAATTGACTGTGTATTTGTTGTGGGAGAAATGCGGAGGCCAATTGCGCACAGCAGTATCCCACAAACACTCGTGGATTTAGTTAATTATTTAACACAGTAGATTACATCCCGATACTGTTCTATTCCATCTACTGCTTTTCACTCTCTAAACACAATATGACGGATTCGTCAACAACAACAAAGTTTTCACATTTTACACTTTTCACATTGGAAGGACAGAATCGATATCAACCAAATCAGTCTGCAGGAAATTTTAGCCAATTAAACAAAAAAATTGTTTCAAAGCTGAATTGACTTCAGGTAATGCAGCCCTGCGTTGCATAAGTTTATCTGTAACTTATATAGTCTTCTAGAGTTATTCAGTCAAGAACTGTTGCCTTAAAACCAATTTGACTTTTGCTTAAACGACTTCATGATTCAGGAGTGTTGGCAAGCCAGTTGAATAGGTGATTTGAAACATGTGCGAAGATGTCTGAACTGTGGAGGATAAATCTTTAATGTCAGCAAACAGCATTGGCAAAATTAGTTTTGTTCCCAATCTGTCAGTGGATGGAGTGGAATAAAATATGACTGCAGCTGCAGGGAGGAAGGAAGAGAGGAGAGTGGAGGATGAGAAATTCCACCTGGGCCTATATTCACTCTTTTTTCTTAGCATTTCAGAACATGCAGAATTGAGTAAATTGTTCAATACAGTCTGATCTTTAAAGCTGGTTTCTGTAGTTCTTTAAAACAAATTATAGAAACCCAGCACAAACATTTTGTCAGAATAATATTTTCTCTATAACATACAAATGAACAAGATTGAACTAATGCTCACTGTCTTATGTTTCCCACCTTACTCTCATTTCAAATGCAAGGATTATTATTATTATTATTGAGCGGACATCTTTCTGGCTACATTTTGACTCTCTGCTTGCAACCATCCTAATTCTTGGACTAGGTTTCAATATGCTGCCTGGCTTTGACTGCCTCCTATCGTTTATTAGCCTTGATGAGCAATACCTTTCTTTCCAATGCATACCTCTGCCATCTGGTTTCAAAATGGATGGGGACAGAATACCTGATCCAGTCAATCCCTACTCACATTTGCTATGAGACCAGACATTAAAGATAAGCTACTGAAAGTGACTCAGGAGAGTTGGGTAATTTCAAGCTGGTGATTTAAAACAGATGGTTTAGGAAGTGGGTTCCCCCCACCAGTAGGGAATGGATAGGTGCCTGATCACATAGCGTCACTCTGAGGGGAACTGTTGATGCCAAACCCAAACCCAAGCTTTCCGTGATGGAATTACCTTCCATTCACTTTTCTCTGAATAAATGAAACAGAATGTCCAGATAGATGCTTAATATCACAAGCTACTGACTCCTAGCTGTTCTGTGTCTAGAGTATTCACAGTATAATTAAAGGGAAATTGGCTTCTTCCAAATGATTGAATTGTAAAATCTTGTAAAAGGAAATATTTGCATTTGCCATGTGGCTCAGTAGCTTCTATCACTATGGTTTATACTGTAAGTTTCTGCTCTGAGACAGTCTGGAAGTAGATCTGCTAGATCTCGCTCCTGTTCTTATATACCAGGAACATCAAAATTTAAAGTTACAAAGGGCAGTTTCAGGACAGTCACCAGGAGTTATTCTTTACCCAGTAAATAATTAACAATTGGAACAGTTTGCCCAGGATGGTGACTGAGACTAGGATACTGAATATATTGAAAAGATATTGAAAAATATGTTTGATACTATGAAAGGATGGTAGGATGAGTGTTTTGCAAGGATGAGATCAAATGGGTCAAAAGGACTAATCTTGTGATCCTGTGATCATGTTCTCTCAGTAATTCAAGGTTGTCTACTCTACAAATTCCTGGTCTTGATGTCACCAGATTCAAAATGTTCTAATGGGATGTGGATTTCTTTAAGGAATAAGTAGATTGGTTGTGATTTGTGGTAACTTTATTGACTTGTAACTTTATTAGCTGATATTAGTCTTTGCTCTCATCAGTTATGTTCTTACTAAATGCATTAGTAAGGAATCGATTCACTGCCTTTCTCCGGCCCGTAAATGTGACTCATGATCAATTTAGCAATCGATTGAGATGGTCAGTTGCAAACCATGAAGTTTCAGATGTGCAATTTCATTTCAGACCCTGCAGAAAATATAGGGTGCACAATAATAAAGCAATTACAGTAATTTCAATATGGAATTATTGCCAATACAGGCAACTCCGTTATAAGGCGTCCCAGTTTAGAGCCTGTGTCTGTAGTGGACACATACTATACCAGAAGGGCAGGATTGTTTGACTTCCTGCATGAAAAACTGTTTGCCTTCCAGGTGTTCAAGTCATCAATTACATCATTTCCTGCACTTTATTCATGCTCACTATGCTTAAGAAAGGTTTCATCAGTAAAGTTTCCTGCTCAAAGGACACATGTAAAGCTGCAGGAAGTGACGTCAGCAATGCTGCCTGCACGTAGCATCCATGCCCACAACATGCAGGTGATCCAACAACCTTGAAGGCAGCATTTTTTATTTGCTTTGTTTTAACAAGGAGCTCTAAGTTTATGAACCCAAACCACTGTAATTTAATAGCCATCCCGAATTGCTGAAAAGTTGCTCCAACCGATTATCTTTTTGAAACCAGTGATCGAAACATATTGCAATAAATAAAATTTAACTTTCACTTTATCATCCTACAATGATAATGATCTGTGGATCCTCACAAGACCACAGAAAAATCAGAAATGAGCACAGGGCTTCTCAGCTCAATGAGGCTCATCCCCTCAATGCAGTTACAGTCCAGTTATCCCCATCACATCTACCCCTTAGTCTTTGGTCAATCACAGTGTCACAGGCCTGGGAGCAACAAAATGTCTGCTCTCGGTTGCTGAAGTCTGGTAAAGCCTTTTGTGTTCCAGCACCTCCATATCTCCACACGCATTGTAGGTGATTCAACTGTGACAGGGTAAGGTCATTCCATACTTTGTAACTCCATCCACAGTCCCTTTGCCTCACTCCCTCCCTTGCATCCTTCAAGGCACATCTCAAGACCCTCCTCTTTGACCATATGTTCGGCCACCTTCCTACCTCCCCACCCTTGCTTGGGACACATCCTTGACTGTCCAGCACCTTGGGACGTCCTCCCGACATGAAAGACACTATACAAATGTAATGTTGTGCTGTATTCCACAATTCCAGAAATACTCACAGTCTCCGTAATTCCAATGGTGTTCCAGCCTTGCAGGATAGGAAGAAAAGATATAAAGCATGGAATTACCCAGCATCCACCCAGCATAAGAGCCACTCGCCAGGGAGTCATCTTGTTCCTGTAGACCAAGGGTTTGCAACAAATTGCATAATATCTGAAAATAAATGAACAAAGAAGCTATCGCAGGTTGTTGAGGATCAAGTGCCGAAGACAACTTCCCAAGATATTACTGGGTGGTTTTGGTAAATGCTTCTCTGTGGGCTACAATAAGTGACAGGAAACAAACCAGGAAATTGGGGTTGAAGGACTGAGCATGTTACAGGAATTCTGTAGTGTTATTTGAGACCATAATTTACAACATCATTATAAAATTATTCACTTTTTAAAAAAATTATTTTGCAGCAAAACACTCAGACTGGACTCAAAGTTAGCAGAGAAGGAAACAGGTTTGTTAGCGACAAGTCCTTACCCATAGTTTATCTTGATACGCATTTCCCTCTCCTCAAATATCCCTCCTCCTTGCCCAAGACAGACATTCAGGATAGAGTACAGTGTCATACTTCTCAGCAGTGTCTTGCCCAAGTCATCATCCTTCATGTATGAGCCCAAGCAGTAAATGCCAGTGGGTGATTCAACTGTGACAGGGCAAGGTCATTCCAGCAGACCCCAATCCTATCCTCACCAGGAACTGACATTGCTCATGGGCTTCGCCTTGAGGCCATTGTCTTAAAATTGAAGGTGGTGCCAGACGAATTTTGAAATATTCCTTAATTCAGTCTTGGTTTGGAAGCCGCAGTCCACAAAACACTTCCAAATTAAGCATGACTTTAAGAATTTTCCAAAATTCTGCATCACAATCAATTTAAAGACAATTGGCTAAAACCATGAGAAATATTGAGCCTCTGAGGTCCACACACACTGTCCACAAGATAATGATAAAGAGCAGTAAAGGTGTTGATTTATTTCTCTCTAGCCAAGGCACTGTGGTGTCAATTATAGTGCATCACCTTCCTCCTCCCCCCTGAGAATGACCACTTCAGCAACAGACCAAAGATACAACTTGTGATCTGGTTTGTAAGGTTCAGTAATATACCAAACAATACATTTATACACTGGGCCTTCGGAGAGACACGTGTGTTCCTTTCATTCTTTTCTTAATAACTTCCTATTTAGAGTTTTTTTCTGAGCCTTCCTGACCCTCATTTTATTTAATGATTACTACTAGTTACTAGTTAAGACTAACCTTAACCTTAGGGTCACTGATAGATTGAGGGGAGAAAGAGCATGAGAATGGAATAAAAATAGGTAGTTCCAGTTAACACTAGCGAGGATGATTTCCTGCTGTGCTGTCACCTTTCCATGATTCAATGTTAATAGCAGTCCTGGAAAAGGTGACTGTATAAGATGTTCTTTGAAGGTATAATCTGAAAAAGGAAAGTAAATACTTAAGAGTAGCGGCTGAAATTATTTTTATCTAAAAAGAACTGGACAGAAATGCTTTGAGATTTTCATTTTTTAATCATTATATAGAACCATTGACAGAGATTTGCTCAAGGAGGTGAAGCTGCGTGATGAGATAACTGGTTCACAGCCTTCCCTTTGGATCCCCTTTCCTGTGACCTTTCTGATCATGTGAATGAAGCTGGAACTATAACTGAAATGAGAGTGACAAGACGTTGTGCAATATATGGTATTCTAGCTGAGAAGAAACTGAACAAGTCTTTAGTATCAGTAACTATCTAATACAACCTCTGTTTTTTCTACCATGTCTGCTTTTAAAATGAGAGTTCTTTAACTCTTTCATATTTCATCCTTGCCCACATACGTCTACTCACCCACACACTATTTGCTCGCTCCCTCCCTTCCCTCCCCTCACCCTGACCATTTCCCCCTGCTCGGGTCATGACCCAACTATGCAGCGCCTTGGGACGTCCTCCTGACGTGAAAGGCGCTTTATAAATGGAATCTTGTTGTTGTTGTTGTTGTTGCTGGATGAGAGAATAGGCAGAAAGTTTGCTTTGTATCAATGAGGAATAAATTAACATCACGGTTAATAGTTAGTAATGAGCAGACATGCCAACAAGTTCCAAGACTTATGTAAAATGCTGTTATTTTTGGTGGTAAGCTTTCACCCTGCAAAAGTCACTCAGTGAGAATTTGTTGAGTCTCCAAAGACAGATCTCATTGTATATTATGTGGAGTGTAATGTAATGCACATTACTTACCTGTCTAATGCAATGCAACACAAATGAAGAATGGATGCTGTTGTGAGTAGAACATCCAAGGATGTTCGAACAAGACAGAAGGTTTCTCCATAGGTCCAATGCTCTTGTACTGTCTCAATTGTACCAAAGGGCATCACCAAAATGGCTACAAGCAGATCGGTAAAAGCCAGAGAAACTATGAAGTAGTTGGTCTTTATTTTTCTGCAAGAAAAACATAAAATGTATAATTTATAGCACTAGAAATTTCCGATTTTGACACAGAAGACTGAGATATACCTTGAAGATCAATTGAGATTTGTAAATCAAACCAATGCCATGCAGGCATTGGGGGCTAGGCAGAAGTGGAACTCGTTGCCAGAAGCTGTGATTGAAGCAGAATCTATCAGTGGATTTAAGAGGAAACTTGATGCAAACAATTCAACAATAAAATACAAATTTATATTTATACAACGCCTTGCATGTCGGGAGGATGTCCCAAGGCACCTGATAGTCATGGTTTGGCACCTGAGGTAGGGATGGGAACCAATGGGGCTGGGGCTAGGGGAAAGATTGAAGGTGCGGTCAAAGAGGAAGGTCTTGAGACAGACTGAGGAAGGGGCGAGTTAGAGGGATGAAGCTCCAGAGGATGGGGACAGATAAGCTGAAAGCCCACTTAACAGTGGAGGAGTGGGCAGGGAAGGAGACATAAAACTGTCTGAGTACCGGCTGAGTGAAGGGAGGAGCTGGGTTGATAAGATAAATGAGGAATAAAGGCATAGAGGGGTATAGGAATGGCACAAGCTAATTGGTCTGAATGCCCCGTTTCTGGACTGTATCATTCTGTGCAATTCTAAGTCCTCGTAAAGTGGTTTGGAGATCAGAAGACTCTTTGACATACCTCTTAAGAACAGATTGCAGAATAACTCTGGGAGAGAGACTTGGGAGCAAGTCACCTGCCTCTCTTCTTGGCTGGGGATCAATGTCCAAAAGAAGAAAAAGGGAAAACAATATTTTGCAAACAAGGAAAGAGAATGAATCAGACCTTCAAGGATTATGTAGGGTAAATAGTAATGCATTATTTCCGTTGCTCAACACATCAATAATGAGACTGCATATATTTAAGGTAATTGCAAAAAAACCAATTAAAGAGAGGACAGAAATTCTTTACAAAAAGAAGGTTTACAATGTGGAATTCACTGCTTGATACTGCAATGAATGCAGTTTTTTTTAAATGGAATGACAATCCTGTAGCTTGGAGTCCTTGGAGCTTGGTTAGAACACTCGACTCACAAGCGAGAGACTTGGGTTTGATTCCCGGCAGAGCGAAATGTTGGGCAAGATTCCTTACTACACGCACCTCTGTTTACCTAACAATAAGTAGGAACCCATTTGTTAGAACCCAGGTGGATCGCTTTTCCAGGGATAATAATCCGTCAAGAAAAAAAATTGTTACTCAATCCACAACTGTTTGTGGGACACTGCTGTGTGCAACTGGCTGCTGTGTTTCGCCCACAAATATACAGTCAATTAACTTTACAGTATATTTTGTGAAGAGCTTTGAAGCGTCTAGAAGACGTAAAAAGCACCATATCAAATGTAAAGATTATTATTATTAATGAAGCAGATGTTTGACATAGAGGAATATTATACGGAGTAAAAGAAATTAAGCAGAGGAGTGGGTTAGATTAGACAGCTCGTGTGGGGTAAATCACCTGTATAGACTTAATGTTTATGCTCTGCAAAATGCAGTGTGAAAATGCAACATCTGGTGTGTTAACCATCAGCAGTACTAATTATCATATCACTGAAGCTTTCTACTTTAGTAATTGGCTTCGCTCCCAGTGAAGAGATGGTGAGTGGGAAGCACTTTGAAATGTCCTCTGATCTCCACCCAATTTTACAGGGACATAGAATTCAGCCCAACTCGTCTGTGACAGTGTGTTATACTTGAAATGAACCTAAAAACCCACACAAGGTTTTGCAGCTTTGTGCTCAGTGAGAATACTGATACTCATTTGTTATTATAATCTCAATAGAGTTAAAAAAAAAGGTTTGAATGTAATACAATAGAGTTCAATTTGCACCAACCACATTTATATTGTGAGTTCCTCAAACCACTTCCCCAGATTCGGTAAGGCCTACAGAACTGCCTGTACCTCACAGTAATGTCTGGGTCCTTGCTTAAACTATATACGTGACGGCGAATCACTACTAAAATCAAATCACTGCCAAAAGTGCAGTGTGAACCTGGCATGAATGTCTGATACTGTATTACAGTATAAATCCTTTTTTTTTATCCTTTCCAGATAGTGGTTACAACAGTAGCAATCAAGAGTAGCAGAACAGAACTCAAACGTCACCTGTAATCATCAATGAAAAAAAAGCTTCTCAAATATATAGGTAATCCAGTCATACAAGCACATGAATCAACAATGACAAAAAAAGTAACACTATAGAATGAGGCTTAATCTGGAAAGTTGTCTCTCTGTAGAAAGATTACCAAGGCAAAACATCTTTGTGAGAAAGAGTGAGAGAGCAAGAGAAAGAACAAATGACTTCTCACCTCAGTTGTTTATCCATGCAGAGGGCCACCATAACCAGGAGATTGCCCAGAATAGTCATCATTATTATAATGGTGAAAAATAGGGTGAGGATAGTTCCTTCCACTATCGTCAGCCTGTAGCCTGACTCTGGCTGGCCAGCACTGGAACTGCCGGAAACAGAACATTTAATCAGTTGGGATCAGAATTTGCAACCAATTCGGTGTTTGGAGTTACAGAAAAGATTCTGTCATTTTCCTGCTATTGTCTATCCTTTGAAGAACAGAATCTAAGACAGTGATGATGTGTTGTAAATTTTAAATTAAAAATTTTAATTAAAAATTGGAAATTTGTAAAATAAATCTGGTTATTCAATCCACCGTTTGTAAAAACTGCTGTGTGCAATTGACTGCTGTGTTTCGGCCACAAAATTCAGTCATCCACTTCACAATATATTCTTGAAGGGCTTTGAGACGTCTCAACTGTGTGATAAGTCGTGATATCAAAATGCAAGGATTATTATTATTGTTATTATTATTAATATCAAAACCAAAGTAAACAGACACGCTTTGGGGATCTTTTGACAATTTATAATTAGGATTCATGCAGCTTTCAGGTTTACAGGTTTATGGGTTCTGTCCCTCAAACAGCTGTTTGACGAATCTTAACATTGATTTTAGAACAAGATATTCACTTGTTTGGCAACAGCTCTTTTCTGTGTAGCACTGCAATGGGTCAATATCTCACAAATCATGGAGCAAAGTATTAGCCTGGCTTGGTTGGAAGCACTCTCGTCTGTGAGTCAAAGGATTGTGGGTTCAAGCCCTGCTTTGGGACTCTGAACTCACAGCCTAGATTGACCCTCCCATGCAGTGCTGGGTGTATGCTACATTGTTGAAGGTGTTGTCCCTTTGGATTAGACGAAAACCCAAGGTGCCGTCGGCCCGGTCAGGAGGGCGTTAAAGATCCCTTGGCACTGCTCGAAAAGGGAAGGGAACTTCTCCCAGTGTCCCCAACCAGCCAATCGATCAATGAGTGGGTCGTTGAGCAATCCCCAGCTTTGATTGGCAGTCAGATGTCAATCAGGGTCAGGCGGTGGGATGAGGGGTGTGATTGGCGGACTGGGCTGCCAGTCAGTCAGTGGGCAGGCGATAGACGGTTCATGAAATAGTGTGGGTAAGTGAATCAGTTGTGACTGACTTCTTGCCAACTTTGGCTGACCTCAAAGTGATTGAACCCCACTCACCACCCCACCACTGAAGCTCAAAGTGCCAATGTGGGACTTGAACCCTTCTAAATTACAGGTAGGAGTGCTCCCCACTGAAGCAGGCTGATGCATGTTGATGATAATGGAAAGTGACAAGGAGCAGTAAAATACCATAAGTTCATTAAATTTGGCGCCCACATTTTTCATGGAACAGGCCTTCAAAAGGTTGACCATTTCATTAAAGCAAAGGTAAGGTTTAATTAATTTATTTATTACAACACATTTAAATTCCCTCAAAAACTTCCAAGCAGGAAATATAATAAATTTAAGCGCACCACAAAAAATACTGGTGTAGAGTACACATAACCCCAATAGCTTTGAAAAGAGGTAGGCACATGCGACAAAAGGGAAAAATAAGCATTTAATGGCCTGATTCTGATTTTCAGTTTCAAGGACATGTCACCCATGCCCTTGTGATGTTGCACAGAAGCAATATGTGAGCGGTACAGCAATAACATTACCCAATATTGGAATTTTCATTGATAATATTACTGATTTATTGTGTGTCTGCTTACCACATAGCTCTCGTGAGATCCAATATACCTACTAGTTTTTCGTTGTGTCAGTTTCTCCGGTCATCTGCATGGGTGTTGCTGGGTTTAAGCCCCTTCTTGTGAGAAATCCATGACACTCTGAAAAAGAGAACGAGACATAGGACACCAGCCCATAGAGGCACGATGGTCGATCTTCAGATCAAAGCCTAAAAAATAAACTTTACAATAAATTGTGCGAAGGGCTTTGAGACATCCATCTGCTGTGAAAGGAGATACATCAAATGCAAGGATTATAAAGCACCTTTTAATTAATTTAGCTAAAATGTGATGCGCTTTGAGACCTCCTCCAGACGTAAAAAGCCCCTTATAAATTCTCAGCAAAAACGGTCTTTTACGTTTTGGCTGTTGCAAAAGCTGGTCGTCAACCAAGCTCTGAATAAGTACAAAATCTTAAACTATTTGGGAACTGGGAGACATAAGAAAGGTGATAGTTTTGAAAAGGAAACAAAAGGTAGAATCGGTGACACCTAATCACTTCTTTGTAATTTATCTTTATCTTTGATGCAATTTTCAATTTTGGCAGTTTTGTTTTGGTCAGCCGGATGCCTAACACTTGCAAGTGTTAGCAAGTGAAACCCATCACCATGCTTAAGAGTATCCAAACCAGACTGAGAGTTCCAAACATATATATGTCATCTGGAAATTTCTCTATGTCTTGAATGGAATTCTTGAGTTCTCTTGCTCACTCACTCTCTGGAGGAAATATGCTCTTTCGCACACTCTCCAAAGGGAAGCACTCTGTTCACCTACTGCTGGAGTCTAACCAGCTAAAGCTGTGAAGCTTGTGGTAATGGTGGTGTGCCTTTCTATGGGCCTTAAAGATTCAGTTTTAAAAAAATGCTGGCCCTCCCAACAGTTAACCAATAATCGGGATGATAATATAGAACTTGAAACATCACTTACCAGAATCAGAGGACTGACTGAGTGAGTGCGGTCTCCCTCTTCATAATGTGAGCTTTTCTTTCTGTGATACAATAGAAAACAATGTTCTCAGTCATCCTTTTGCACTTTGCTTTTGCTTTGCAGCACTTTCTTACATCCATCTATACTCTTTAAATGTAGTGCTATACTTACAGTAACAATATGCCGAACAATTAAAATATGAGATGGTAAATGTTTGCTGTAGGAAGAGATCAAAGACTTTACACAAGTGGTATATCAAGTTCCATGGCAAATTACCAAGTTAGTAAACAGAAGTACAAAGTGCAGTGAAACTGAAATGTGATGCCAGCACACCACTTACTCATCTGGGGAACAATTTCATTGATTATAATTTTATCGTTTTAATTCCTCATCCATTTCTAAAACAGTTTGTTGCTGTATTCTACATGTCTCTCCACCTGGTACTTTGAAAAAGAGTAATGAAATTTCACAAATCTTTTCTTTTTCAAATACAGGGTGACTAAAAAGTGGTGATACCATTACAATATCTTAAAGAAATTATGATTTTTTTTAGATAATAGGGCAGTTATCATGAGGTTTTGTTCACCCTGTAGTACCACAGGATCATCCACCTGAGAAGTGCACAACTGCAGTATATAAAATAAAAACTGGCATCACTATTCTAAAACTCAGAGATCCAGCTATTCAATTTATTCTAAGCTATTTCCTTACTTTTCAAGAATGCCATTCTCAATTTCCTTCAGTGGGTTTGTGGGTAAAGGCAGCATAGGCATAGCAGAGGATAAGTTCCACCTGGGTCCAGCTTATTATAAAACACATTATTTAAAACCAGGAAAATAAGTGAAAAGACAAAGCTATTCTAACTTGTTGTAGCTATTATAACTACTGTACTGTACATGATATTTGCATGGAGACTGAATACAATAATAATCCTCGCATTTGATATAGCACCTTATCATGTCTTCAAGACGTCCTAAAGCGCTTCACAGAAAATAATGTAAAGAATTGACTGTATATTTTGTGAGCAAAAAGCAGCAGCCAATTGCACACAACAATGTCCCATAAACAGTCGTGGATTGAGTGACTAAATTATTTTTATTTATTTTGAAGGAATTATTACTCCCGGAAAGCTAGGTAAACAGAGGCGTGTGGAGTAAGTTAAGTTGCCTCACATTTTGCCCTGCCATGAATTGAACCCAGGTCATCTCATTTGCGAGGCAAGTGGTCTAACCACTAAGCTATAGGACTCCTGTACTGTGTACTGTGTACAATGTACTGAATCCTTAATTGTAACTCTATTAAAGGTTTGCTCAACTACATGTTTCATTATTAGGACTTCTGGGTTTATTTTGTTTAGCAATTTTTAGCAATATGTAGATGTCCAAATATTGGGGGGTTTATACTGTAAGATTACAATCACATCTGCGCGTACGGAAGGGAGCGATTCTCTTCTCTGTGCGCTCAGGCAAGTCTGGTGAAGAATTTGTATGTGAAAGAAGGAGGTACTGCATGTGCGTGAGGGCACCTCTCTCCCCTCCATGTGCCCAGGCAGGTCTGGTGAAGGCTCTGTATGTGAGACAAGCATCTCATGCAGCGTCACACTCTTCTCACATACCCTTCACCAGACAAGCCCGCGCACACAGAAGGAGAAGCTGAGAACAAATGTATTGCACAGAGCCAAGAGCGAGAGAGAGACAGAGAGAGAACCTCACCACAAAGTTAAGTCAGGGCAGGTCACCATTTCTGGTGTATCATTTTTTTTTGTCAGTTGGGTGGCTGGCACATGGGGAAGCCCATCATACTGTGTCTTGGGGTTAACGCTAACCATCTAAAGCCGCATAGCTTGTGATTATGAGCACTGCTTAGCAACTCCCTGATGCTTGTCCAGCTAGGACCACCATACCTGTTAGAGCTTTGGTTTTCAGGGTTAACAGAGCAGAGTAGATGATCAGTCTGCCCCTCCACTGAATGGGTTGGCTGATCTGTCATCAGCAATGCCCTGGAACTGCTGTGCTCAGGAGCCAGACTAGCGAGGCAACCAGAGAGGGTTTACTCCATTCCAATCTTCCATTGCCAGACACATCACATTGTAGCAAGCTCAACCTCAGGAAGACCCCACTAAACTTCCCCCAAGGAGGATGGTCATTAATCGGTTATTAGACATCTAGACATTGTGGAGTCTTGTAGCTCAATGGTTAGAGCACTCGCCTCGCAAGCGATTCTCGGGCAGGGAGAAACGTTGGGCAAGTTTCCTTACTCCACACGCCTCTGTTTACCAGCAATAAATAGAAACCCAATTGTTAGTTGATTGGCGGATCGCTTTCTGGGTGTAATAATCTCTCCAAAAAAAAATTGGGGCACCCAATTCACGATTGTATGTGGGACACTGCTGTATGCACCTGGCTGCCATGTTTCACCTATAAAATATTCAGTCAATTCACTTTACAGTTATTCTGTAAAGCGCTTTGAGACGTCTCGAAATGTGCAAGGATTATTAATAATATTATTATCTGACAAGCGCAGGTTTAAGTGCTTGCTAGATCTGACTGTAGTATAATTAACTGATACCGTAACAAAACTAATAAAAGTGTAATCTCACACCCTCCGCTTTCAAATTGTATTTTCTGTATTATCATTCCCGTGTTTCATGATGTTATATAAAAGTTATAAAACAATGTTTTTCAAACTTTGAGCAAATGGGGGAAGGTGCAGATATGTCAGACTGGTGGAATATAAACACAGAAACAGACTGGTTGGGCCAAGTGGCCTGTACATTCTTTATAACTACAATGTTTAACTGCACAGGGAGTACAGCCAACGGAAGCAATATATCACTGTTAACCAGCAATGGGAGCCTTTGATCCAACACTTTGATACTTTGATTATTTCACTGCCAGTTGGAAGGTTTGAAGAGCCCTGGTCAATGAGATGGAAAAGCGTGAGTGGCGCCTTTTACTTCTTAAAATAATAATAATAATTCTTGCATTTGTCACATCATCGAGACATCTCAAAGCACTTCTCAATAAAGTGCAGTGACTATTTATTTTGTGGGCGAAATTCAGCAGCAAGTTGCACACAGCAATGTCCCACAAACAGCAATGGAGTGAATGACCAATTTTATTTGGGGGATTGTTGGCCACAAATTGTTAATGTAACACAACCATGTGCAGTGGTTGCCCAGATATGTGAAGTGGAACCAATTTCCAGTTAGCTCCTTAGGAATCAGACAAAGCAGCAAACCAACCCTTCCTTCGTTATGGTCAGTAATGCCCACAGAACATTATCCGTGTATACCCTGCACCCTCCCACTCTCCATCAATTGTTGCTTGCAAATTGCTTGCTTGACCACTGTCCAGCACCTCGGGACATCCTTCTGATGTAAAAGGCGCTATGCAAATGTAATTTTGTATTGTATTGTGTATCTGTTCAGAAAAAGAGCTGCAATGCTGCTGGAGTCTCTGAATACAGTCAGGCGATCCTAGTTTCACTTGAAACCCCAGCGATGACCATTTAGAGTTCCCTCTTGGATCCTGATAAATTGCAGATCTGAGTCTCCCCAAGGGTTTTATAATAATAATCCTTGCATTTGATATAGTGCTTTTCACGTCTTCTCGATGTCTCAAAGAGCTTCACAAAATATGCTGTAAAGTGAATTGATTGTATATTTGTGGGCGAAATGCGGCAGCCAATTACGCATAGCAGTGTCCCACAAACAGTCGTGGATTGAAAATGACCAATTTATTATTGTTTTGTTTTGGAGGGATTATTATTACTTTTTATAGATGTGGAGCTATATTAGTGAACACATACAGCATGCAGCACCAGATACGGCCATGGCTGGGGATAAATAAGCTGGTGGGAGCGATCCATCACTTTGATTCACCTTGAGGCTGTGAGAACCTGACTATTTATTCAACCCGTTTTTTTTCCCCCCGTAAATCCATAAATGAAAATAATTCACAAATAATAAATAAAAATAATAAATAAAATAATTGGTTTACTCCCCATCTTCCACCCCGGCAGAGAAATGATCCCGCCAAAAATAAAAAATACATCACTTACCTCTGCCTCTTAAATGGGGGTATAAATGGTTCAACTAAATGAGTAGCAGATCTCTAACCCCAGGCAACAACAACAAATTACATTTGTATAGCACTTTTCATATCGGGAGGACGTCCCAAGGCGCTGGTGACAGAGAGGTAGCAAATCAGTACTCGCTCCCCATTACCTAGAGAGCAATCAAATGCTGTGATCCCTGGATAATAATAATAAAGTAATAATAATCCTTGCATTTCATATAAAGCCTTATCACATCTTTGAGACATCTCAAAACGCTTCACAGAATATACTGTAAAGTGAATTGACTGTATATTTTGTGAGCGAAACATGGCAGCCAATTGTGCACAGCAGCGTCCCACAAACAGTCGTGGATGGAGTGACCAAATTATTATTATTTTGGAAGAGATTATTACTCCTGGAAAAGCGATCCACCAATTGACTAACATCCAGGTTCCTAGTTACTGCTCGGTGAACAGAGGCGAGAGGAGTAAGGAAACTTGCCCAACGTTTACTGAGCTCCAGAATCACACCCAGGTCCTCTCCCTTGCGAGGTGAGTGCTCTAACCACTAAAGCACAGGACTCCATGGTTGCCTGAATAACCTGCTAAAATGTGGTAAAGTGTGACATGTCGACTTACTCCTTTAAGCTTGTGAAAAGGTGCAAGATTTGATGCCGCGTCGCCAGTGTGGCTGCGGACCTCTCCACTGGTGCTGTTGTTACTGTCACAAAGAGGTTTAAGGCAAAATTTGCGACATCTATTCTGCGCTTTCACTGAACCCAGTCAGAGCTGTGTGAACAGAGAAACAATAACATGAAAGGAAAGTCTAACTGGGAGGTGGTAATCTCGTCTCTAGGATTAGATTCCTGGGTTACCCCCTAACCATACTGTTTTTTGGTGAGTTATTTACCTGTATATTGGGGTGGAACCCACCTTCACCAAAGAGCAATGGCAACATACATTATGAAATCTGTCTCTCCCAAAACGAAATTGACTTCATTGCACTCTCTCCACAACCATCATAAAAAACGAATGCCGGGCACTGTGCTCTTAAAGAGCAAAGTTATCCACTTGAAACATTAAAACCAAGAAAGACTGCGGTGTAACAGCTGCTGCTGACCTGACTGACACCTCTCACTCTGTGCCATTGCGCGGTGTACCTGACAGTCCGCGGGTTTGCTGTCACCTCCCACTCCGCTTTATGCCACATTCCCGGGATCGCTGAATCATCTCAAACTATTGAAAGCAACATTTCCTTACTCAGGTCCTACCTTACCGGGATCAGCAAAGCTTCTCCTGGGATCAGGGGAGATGAGAGGTGGCAAACTATCATCCCACGGCTTCTCATAGTCCGGCAAAGCACCAGCGCCCAACAGGTCTGCCCGAGGCTGCGGGACAGCGGCAGCGGGTCAGACCGCACACACACACACACACACACACAGTGGGTAACGTAGAGAATAAACTCTGCTGTAGAGACATAGCCAACTCTTTAGCTCAATGAGCGCCCTCTTGTGCAAGTACTATACATCCTCCAGATACACACACACTTAAATCACTCACATAGACACACTCTACAAAGGCAGTGCTGGACCGTTAAGAGAGAGAACCGCCGACCACACCGTCCTCTACAATTCTAAACTGGTATTCACAGGCACTGTGTAAGTTTCAAATAGTTGTTTTTAAATAAGGAGAAAAATACTCATCACATAATTTAACAGTGAAGTTGAGGTTTTGTTTTACCTTTTCTTTTACTATTCCTTTTCTTGTTTAGATTCTAAAGTTTAGAACCAGTGACAATCTGGAAATGTAAATGGCTAAGATACTGTATATATACATACAGTATATGAATTCAAGGTCAGCCCTGCTGCTGACATGCAGCCAACCTACTATCAAATATAGACCGCACAAATAGCTGGTGAGAGGGTGGGTAAGAGATATTTGTGAAAAAAAATTAATCCACAAAATATGTAGTCAATTAATTCACTTTACAGTTTCTGTGAAACACTTTGGGATGTCTCAACGATTTGATAAGGCTTTACATCAAATGCAAGGATTATTATTAATAAGTGGTATTGGATGACTGCTAGAATATTTCTAAACATTTATCAGGAGTTTCCAAAGTGTCTTTATACCCAAGAAACAACTTTGTACCCAAGAACCAAGAAGGAAAAAAAGCAGAATAATGTGATACCTTTAAGGCTTGCAACCAATTGGTCCTACCAGAGATTTAATGGTGTTTATATATACAGTACATATACTGTATTTCATCGCTTTTATTAACTTTTTATACTGCCATCAAGCATGTGAGTAGGCTTGGAAAGGCTAGAGCTTTATGAAGCCTCCACATTGGTTTTAGTGTTTAATCATGCGTGATCACATCAAGTGTGTCTGTAAACAATGCCTGACCAGAACATTATTCAATAACAACAGCAATTTGCATTTATATAGCTCCCTTCCTGCAGAATATTTTCTCAGAGCACTTTATAGTGGCGGGGATGGATGCCAAGTCACGGGTTGTGGGGGAGGTGACCACAGATGTGGTCAAAAAGGTAGATGAGACTTGATGATTGATGGAGAGGAAGCAAGATGGAAGGGTCGAGGAAGGGATTCCAGAGATTGAGGGGAACATAATCAGAGAGATTGGACACCAAAAATGGCGGGGAACTTTGAGTAAACCCCAGTTAATATTTGTACTCACTGGTAGAGAATACATATTCTCATTTTTTTTAAAAAACTGCACATTTCAGTTTACAGTTGACTTACTCTAGCATATTTATAAATACAGATATTGAATAAATATAATTTTAACATTTGTCTGGGAATGAATTGCAAAGATGCATGGTGCATCTCCCTGACTTCAGGAACTGATTCATGGCCGGGAATATCATTTTCACTTGTGATAATATTTGAAACTGTTATTTACTGATATTTGAAACCCTGTAAATGCATTGCAGCTGTCCATGGATTGCACAGCTCCACAAGCTACTCATTTCCCTCATATAAAGATCACCGCAGAATTTCACCTCCAAATTAAATATATACGCTACCTTTCAGGTCAGGAGATTATCTCAAGCCACTTCAAACAACAGACTGGGGGGGTGGGAGGAGATAAAGTAGCTGAGAAGGGTAGGAGAAAGGTAGCTAAAAGCACAGTTAAAAAAATATGTCTTCAAATTGGTTTATAAGGCAGGGAGGGAGGGAGGAGGGGTAAAATGGAGAGACACCACGATGGAGTAGCAGAAAGCCCGGCAGTGGAATTGAAGGTTTATCTTTCAATATTGTGGCAGTTCAAGGGGTGACATGAAGTAGGCCAGTATTTGTTGAGCGGAGGGAGCATGACGGTAGGATTGAAGAGGTAGTGTGGTGGGAGGTCATGAGACCTATTCAAAGTGAGAACAAAGACCTTGAATTTGATCCATTGGGGGATGGGGAGTCAATGGAACCAAGGAAGGATTGGATGGTGATGGACACAGGCTAGAGAGGTTAACCAAACATTGGGCAAGTTTCCTTACTCCACATGCTTTATCCTTGCCAGTTGCACATTGCCTGATATATCAGATTCCTCAGTGAGGCTACAGCTTTGTGAAATGATCTGTAAATGATTTGTAAACCAGATTTAATATTTACTTTGCATGAAGCTATTTAGTTGATGACATTATTTGAGATTGCACCTTTAAGTGAGTATGAAGCAAAGTTGAAGCTGTAGCATGTGTAACAGGTGGGATTGGGATATGACTGTGAAAATCAATTGGATTCTGTGGGCCATTGTCGGTATTTTCACAGTTGCTGGTGAAATTTCACACCAGCAAAAGTAAAAACAATATTACAAATGTGTGAAATATCATTAAACGGCCCGATGGTTTGCTGATGCTTTTCCAAATCTAAATGGGGCTGGTTTGCTCAAGGTCCTGGAAACAGCATGATTGTTACCCAGTAATGGGTGGGTGAAAGAGGGATCATTATATGTTCCTGTAGGAAGGGACAAACGCAACATTTGGAAATCCTTCCTTCAGATATTGCTTGGTTAAATGTAAAGTGTTAACTCCATCAGATGCATATAATAATAATAATAATAATAATAATAATAATAATCCTTGCTTTTGGTATAGCGCTTTTCACGTCTGGAGGACGTCCCAAAGCACTTCACAGATTTTTGTCTGTGAAGTAGAGTGACTATGTATTTGTGGTGAAACGAATATGACAAGAATCAAATAAAAACTATAACTATAAAAACTATGAATCTTTGCATTTGATGTAGCACCTTTTACATCCTCCTTTGCTTATGTCAATGTCTTCTCACCTGTGGCTCAGACTTCCTGAACCTCCTCGGCCTATCCCACAGTGTGCGCAACCTCGGTGTCAGATTCAACCACCAGCTGTCCTACATCCAGTCCTTGACCAAGATTGCTTTCCTCCACTCCGCCAGTCTCCGTCCATACTTCACACCCAATGCAGCCCAAACAATAACAACAATAAATTACATTTGTAGAGCGTCTTTCATGTCAGGAGGACATCCCACTGTGCTGGTCAGTCAGGAATCTGCACCAGGCTGGTGGTTGGGACAGGAGGGTGGGGAGGATAGGTGTAAGAGGGTGATCGAAGACAAGGTCGAAGAGAAGGGTTTTAAGATGGGTCCTGAAGGAGGCAAGGGAGGAGACTAGGCAGAGGGCCTGTGGGATGGAGTTCTAGAGGGTGAAGGCCTGCCCGCCAATGGTGGGTGAGGCAAAGCGGGGGACATGAAGCAGGCCGGAGCCCCTTGAGCGGAGAGAGCGGACAGGTTGGTAGGGGCTTAGGGGGTCACAGAGGTAGGGAGGAGGAAGGCTGTGGAGGGCTTTGAAGGTGAGGAACAGGATCTTGAACTGTATCTTCTGTGTGATGGGAAACCAGTGGAACTGGGTGAGGGTGGGGGCAATAGGGTCTCGGAGCCATTCACATATTTGTCACCTCACGCTTCCTTTTTTTCAATGCCCTCCTTGCTCTTGCAAAATCTATTGCTTGGATTTTCACCTATGCCAAACTCCGCACTCCCATCACCCAGTCCTTGCCAGGCTCCACTGACTCCCTATTGCAAGATCCTCACACTTATTTACAAATCAATTCATGTCCCAGCTCCTCTCTACTGCTACAACCTGCTTACACTCCACTCCTCCACCTGCCCTCTTCCAGCTGGCTCTGACTTTCTACACATTGCTCGTCCCCTCCGCTCCATCATCGGTGGTCGTGTTTTCAGCCACTACTCTCACAAACTCTAGAACTCTCTGCCTCAATCCCTCCACCTTGCGCCATCCTTACCCATCTTCAGATCGCATCTGAAGATCTTCTTCTTCGACCATATCTATAGTCAACCTCCACCACCTCCCCCACCCCCACTTCCGTCAAACTCCGCCATTGTTAAGCATTCTGTGACACTAACTGTATAAATGGTACTTTATAAATGCAAACTGTTGTTATTGTTACATCAAAATGTCTCAAACACTTTCTGTAAAGTATAGTGGCGGTGTATTTGAAGACGTACACAAAAGCCAATTTATGCACAGCAATGTCCCACTTATTGTTGACCAAACCCCCAGGAGAAACTTCCTTTTCTTTTCGAATGGTGTCATGTCATGTGATCTTTAACATCCATCTAAAAGGCAGTCTAATTTAATTTAATTAAATTAAATCAGTTTAATTCTCATCCGAAAGAAAGCACCTCTGCCAATACAGAACTGTCCACCAGTATAAGCCTTGACTAACAGCTCAAGTAGAAAGCTTATAAGAAGTAAAATATTTCAGATCCATGTTTGAAATCAGACAGTGACAAAATCAAGAGGGAATCATCATCTTAAAGCCAGTAAGCGATTTTGGGGTCGCTGTGACTATCTGTGGCTACCTATGGGGAAAGGCAACAGTTTAATTAACATCCTATAGCTTGTGATGAAGTATTAATGGAATCTCTAATTCCATCTTAATAGTGGGTTGGAGATGACCAGATTACTTTTTGTGAGCTGGCTTTGGTCCTGAGGAGAAAGTCAGTTTGCACATGCAATGCGCTGATATTTTACACAAGATCGTTACAACATTAAAACCAAATATTTAAAAAATGTTTTAAAAACAAAGCCTTTAAAACATTAAAGGTGCAGCTCATTGGAATGGGATCAGCCCTGATTCTTCATATTTGTGTAAATAAATATGGTGATATTGGCATTCATACGAGAGTGTCAATTGATTGCGTCTGTTAAATGAAGCAATAGGGAAGTTTTTAAAACTGTAGTACCCTGTAATAGTTGTGAGGATGGAAACTCACATCTCTTTGGTTTTAGACTTTGCAGAGGTTTGTGCCCAAGTAAAGTAAAAGTAGTTTATTAAAAAACGTTTGGTTGCCGTCA